ACCGAGAGAAATACAGAGACGGAGAGGGAGACTACCCGGAGAGAGGGAAACGACGGTAACCGTAGATGAACAAGGGAAGGGAGGAACGGCAGAGAGTCCGAGAGGCAGAGTCGAACAATCGAAACAAAGAAAGAACAAGAGGAGCCGAAGGATAAAATAAAAAGGAACAATAATAAAAAGGACAATAATAAAAAGGAAAGTTGCTAGAGATTTTCACTTACAATAATATTAAAAATTCTAGAGAACGAATTGATTCTCCACACTTTGATATGCACGCATGCACGAAACGTTGTAAAAAAATTGACCGCAAGGGATACCAGGAAAGGAATACAGCCTCTCTTAAGTGGAATTGAACGTGTGATAACATGTAGTTTCAGTTACAAATATAGCACTGCAAAATTCCAATGAAACCTCATGGAAAATGAGCAACTATCTGAATCAGCGATATATTTCAAACATTGCTTTATATAATATTATGTATGAAATAAATTCTCTCTTTCATTAATATATTTTATTAAAAATATTTAAACTTGAGCAAAAATTTTATTTATTTTTTAGGTTTATCATCTTAAAAATAAAAGAAATATAATATGCATATAATTTTGAATTTGAATTTGAATACTATAAGAAATTTTATCGCTATAATTACATTGAGACATAAAACGAAAAAAATATGAATATTTTCACGGAAGATTAATAAAATATTCACCGATCTTTGGTGAAATTTTATCACTTTACAACTTTAACCAATGATATTTTCACTGATTCCGTTTGAGAATAAGATCGATATAATAGAAAAAAAGGAATCTAAAATTATATAAGAAAAAAGATACATAAGATTATATAAGAAAATGTTAGAAGAAAAAGGATACAAAAGATATATACGAGAAAAGCCTAAAAAAAACTAAGAAAACGAGATAAACAATTAAACATCTTGAAATTGTAAAATGTAAAGCCAAGAAAGGAAATACAAAGAAAAGACGGAATGTCGTATTGTTGCAGAACATGTACGTGACAAACGTGAACGAAAATCAATTCGTTCTCATCGTTCAAGATAGAGAGTAAAAGAAGGTCAAATTGGTTGAAGGCCTTATATATGAGACCACTACTCCAAAAATAGCGTTAGAGAGTTTGGTAATTGCGTGCACAATCATTCGAATTAATTCACAAGCATTAAGCCAAAAAATACCCTCCCTCCTCCGATGATTACATGGCTATATTTATCGAGCGAAACTCGAGGTGAAAAATATCTTTCATTTATATTCATCGCGAACAAAAAAATTCAATATTCTAATAACAATATTCTAATATAAACGTCATTGCAGTCTTTAAATTAAAAAAAATAGATAACATATGTAATATATAATTAAGAACGCTAAAAATAAGATTAAGCATAATAGATTATAATAAATACAGAATTAGATTAGGCCCAGTTCCACAATCCAATTAACCCGAGTTTACGTAGCGAATGGATCAATCAGGAGCCAGTTTAACGTATTAAATAATTATAATTCAGGTTAACTCGAGTTGTGAAATCGGTCCTTAGAGTTAAAAAAGAGATTTGGAAAGCAAATTGTATTCTAATTCAGTGTATGGGAGATATCTAATTAAGATATATATAGGTCGAAGAATTAATCTTTTTTTAGAAGTTTTTTTAAAAGCGATTTTTTGTTTTCTAGAAAAATAAAAAAGTGGCGCTATACAAAGATTTTCTGATTCTTCTATTCATTTTGCACATAACAAGTATTGAGATAATATTATTGCAAAGAATGAATACTTTATAAGTCATTTCTAAGATATTAGAATATGTTGGATATATCATAACATATAACATATAACATATTTTTATTCTGATATATTCTGATGACTATCCTGTGAGATATATACTAAAATAAATATTCTCTAACTATAAGATATAATATATATTCTTCTAAAAAATTCACATATTTCACATATTTTCAATAATTTTATTTTAATACTTATAGAGATGCCAAGTAATGAGGGAAATTGATTTAAAGAGAAACATAGTTCTATGCAAAAGTATTACTATCTGCATGTTAAAATTTAAAAAAATCGCTTCTATCTCCAACAAGATTAATTTTCTGGCCTTTTCTTGTTGATTGCACATTTTTTTACGACTGTTATCTGACCTCCAAGCTCTGAACGCTTTTTAATGCTCTATATAAACGTATGAAGAAGCGAAGAAAACCTGTTTTAAACCTGGCTCTTGAGAGATCTAAATGTGAACATAACCGCCGTTATTTACATTTCGCTTACGGTTTCTTCTCTCGTGCACGTGCACTTGGCGAGTGCGCGCGCACTCGATAACATACAGGTGGTTCACGCGAGACGAGACGACGATCTAGTTATACGGACGGCTCTTTAGAAGGGCACGTGATCGATCGTCGAAACTTTTTCGTGCGTGCCTCGATCACGGTCACACCTTTAAAGGTAGAGGACCTTCGTAATAAAATCCTAAAAAAGATGATATCTATAATTCGCTGAGGAGTGTTTATGCGAGAAGCGTAAATTAAAATGAATACTCGTCATAAATTGCGATATTTGCGAGATATCAATTCCATGCCGTCATTCTTTCATATTCGTCGAAATTACCAATCGAACAGAAAAAAACCAGTGCCTTTCAGGATTTAATTTATTATTTAAGATAATCCGTCACAGAAATTGAAATACAATAAAATAAAAAGAATAAAATTCTTGAGATTAAATTTCAAGATATTTAGATACTTTGAACATTTAGATGGAATGAAAAAAATTATTTTACAAATAAGACATAGAGATACAAAGATTATATTATAACTCGCATATTGATGATATCCAAGGCTAAGCTGTTTTCTATAAGAATAGTCAAGCAATTGTCGAGGAGAGCGAGACTCAATTAACGGAAGGAGAGACTAATCGCCTCGAACATTCAGACGAGGAGTTATCGTTATCGCCTTCTCGCTGCTGGAGACTGAATGCGCTTTGAAACATCGCGGAATACGAGGATGTAATCTGCATTTTAACGTTAAAAATTGTGCTTTGTACGAAGATCCAGATTGAACAAAATAATTCTTTAATATTCTGGATATGTATATAAATTTTTTTGCAATAACTTCTTTGTAATTATTATATTATCATTGATACTGAATTTCGCGAATTGTTGAAAAATTTCTTTCTTTTCGTTTATTACTAGCTACACATCGGAATTTAAATTACTTACTACATGAAAAATTATTTCGAAGCGCATTTTCGTTTCGATATCTACAACAGATCAGCTGGAAAAAATAAATGTTTGATATGACGACTATTATGCGGACATCTTTAATTAATTATATTGGCAATGGTTCACGCGAGCGTGCATAATAATGAAATGATCGATAAATACTTTGTCATGCTATCTTTTACAATTACGCGATATATAACTTTATTTTTAATGATAAATCTAAATGTAATATGTATATTCATTAAATATTTGCTAAAGCGATATATGTTATAGCATGTTGAAGGAGAGATAACGAATATATTGTCGCGATAGCATTCGAATATTGCGTACAACTATAAAATTCGTCATGTAAAGAACGACAAACCGTGTGTATCAAAAGAACGCGACTCTGAGAGCGCTTATGCTGAAAAAATATTTCGGATAATATTTAAAGGGAAACTTTTCATAAACTTTTTAACATTCGTCATAATATAATACTATATAAATTAATGTTTTTTCACTTTTACGAAAACAATTTTTGACTTTTATATAAATATAGAACAATTTTTTTAAATTAATCTTTTAAAAATTTCGTATTCTTTCAATACATCAGGCGATCCATTTCAATCTGTCACGATATCCGCTAAAAACTGATTGTATTGCTTGTGCGAAATTAACATAAGACTTGCTAATCAGGATTACGAATGTAAATTGATACGTAATGACAGCGATAGCGGTTATCAAAATGTATTCAATAAACCTTAAAAGGCGAGATTATTATTTGAAAAATTACGCGCGAAATTTAATTGTTCATCGGTGAAATAAGAGCTTGTCGTGATAAAATACTATAGCTAATCTGTTGTGCAATCTTATCGAGAGCGCAATACGATAAATATTTAGATTCTTGTCATAGTAACAAATTTTTAAAGCTTTTCAAGTATACCTAATATTTTGATGCTCTTGTACTCTATTAATCTTGCACTGCCTATTTCGTTCGGTAAAAAATGAATTAATAACATAGTTCAACAAAAACAAAAAAATAATCATTTCTCATAAATCATTTTTTAAATATTATTCCAGTTTTTATCGCGTCACAATTTGAGAAATTTATGGAATCGTATTCAACGTAAAAAAAAAGTGCGACAAATAATTTTTTCTTTTGCTGGAAGAAAGCAATTTTTTGTTGAATTACATAATAGTATTAATAATACCAAATACATTATATGTAATGTAATGTGCATTAGCACGGGTACTTTCCGTGTCGGAAAAACTTTAAAAATTGCTGAAAAAGAAAGGAAAATTTAAATGCAATGGATTCCACGATTCTAGGTGCAAAATAAACACGCCGTGATATGATTAATGTGCGACATATCGTTAATAACAAATTGCGTCGTCACGATAACGGCAGAAAAATAAGAGCACGGTGCAATGTCCATCTTGCATTGGAAGATGGCACATACATGAGTGGTCTCATGTGCGAAACGCAAATCTAGATGTATAAATAACTTGCCTACGCATGTGACAATATAAATAAGACCATAGGTTCGCGCCGAGAGATCCTGAGAAATCAAACATAATGGTAGATGCAATTATGAAAAATGTACCGATATATACGAGTCAAAAAGAGGACGATGATGTATAGTATATAAGAGATGAATTTTACGTAACAACACCTAGAATAATGTATCCGGAACTTAATATGTACATGAGAGAGACTCGACGTGTTACGTTAAAGCGATGTCATAAAATACGAGATAAATAATAATGGTATCTGTGTAAATTAGGTCTCGCACCATACCTTGTTAAAGCACTGGGCAATTCGACCTTGACAGGTAGTCTTAACTTATGCATTTTACTTTATACATACACGCACTGCTATGTCATTTACAGTACAGTCTTCTCTCTCCGCTTCTCTCTCTTTCTTTCCACCTTTCTCTATCTCTCTCGCAGCCAGATGAGTGCACACACATACATACATACGTGCGTAAGGAAAGCACGCGTTTACACGGGGCTACGTGCGAAATGTAACGGGAAACATAACCAAAAAAATGCGCATCCGAATGCTTTCTTAAAAGAGAGGACAGAAGAAGAAAGGAGTAAATAGAGCAAAAAAAGAGAGAGATAAACGCGCGCGGAGCGTGATTTTTAAGAGAGAGAGATAGAGAGAGAAACGGGGGAGGACCACAACACTAATGAAACGACACACGAACGAAACTAACCAACTATATAACGGAGGAACGGGAGAGAGGGTTGGCAGTTCTAGTGAATGATTTTACATGGACACTGGATGGCAAACGACTCCTCTTCGGGCTCGCGTTCGTCTCTCGGCGACGACGGGCACACATTCGGGATTAGATTCACGACGTAAACTCGTCGGTCACACACGCGACGTTAACATTGTCATACATACACACGGATGACGCGCACACACACGACGTAGCGAACGTAACACGACGCACGCTCCGCTCCGTTCGCTTTCGCGACTATCACTTGGACGCCACCGGCGGCGATCCGTAATATCCGTACACATTCGTACACTTGCACCGCCGTCGCACGCACTGACGGACGGATCTACGCTGCACGAGCACGAGTTTGCGCAAACTCCGTCCTTGACGTCACACGGCAACGCGAGCGCTACTAGTGGCGACGGCGAGAAGCTCGAGAGATTACCGACAATTGTCCGCGAAAATTCGAATTCATCGTCGCGTCGATATCAAGGATAGATTCGATTTAAAAACGTCGGTAAATTAATCGCTTTTCTAAGACTGAATTGATATTAATTATAGTCTACTAAATTATTTATTCTTCTGAAAAGAAACAAAAAATTTATAAAGAAGTTGATCAATACTGTACTAATCATTTGTTAATAATTGATTAATTATCTACTAATTTATTCTGTATGTTTTCGGGAAGAAATCATTTGAAATTAATAAAATATGCAATTTTTAATAAAATTATTAAAAATATAAAAATAATGTCTATATATAAAATAAATTTTTAAATATAAATATATTTAATAAATATAAAAATAAATATTTTTTATTTAATATTGAATCAGAAGTTCAATTTCAATGTTTATTTGAATTTCAATTTCAAACAAATCTATATCACGTATATGAAAACAAAATGTTACAAATGATCAGTGATATATACATAAAAATACAAATTAATTAATATTCCTTTAGTATTTTTTAAATTGATATCAATTTCAGTGGCAACAAGTTAAAAAATGAAAGGCTAAAAATAAAAAAAATAAAAATAAATAATTTGTATTGCTGATTTTTATATCTTGCAATGTAGATGTGTGCATAAAAAATTCGCGATATTGTGAAGCACGAAAGTATCTAATGAAAGTATGTACGTACATACGGAAATGAGATGGAAAATGGTATTTTATGGAACATTAGCCATGAAAATATTGCTTTATTCAAAGCAAATGAAGTACATTATCGATGCTGCTTAATGCCACTGCTTAATCGCTTCGAAGTACTAACGCGGCCATAATATATGATCCATTCTTCGTACGATGATCGGATAATGCGTAATGTAACTGTAATAATAAAATAATGTACAACATGATATATAACTGACAATAATACACGTCTCGCGATCTCAGATCTATAAATGAGAACAATAAGCATGAAACAAAAGAGAGGCTGTGCTACAGAATCTGTCGCGATTGCCAAGCTTGCACTTATATACGTGTGCATGTGTGAACGCGTTAACTATTCAACTTGCTATCTGAATCATTGCTTTTCTCCTCTTCGTCACGAGCTTAAATTATTAATCTTAATTTAGTAAAGAGTTGAATTAAATTAACTGACAATTTGCTTGTTCGAGTTTTCGCACATAGAAAAAAATAAATATCTAATAAAATCAAATCAATTAGGGCCGGTTTTACAACTTGAGTTAACCCGAGTTTAATACGTTAAACTGGGTCCTGATTAGTCCATTCGCTACTTAAACTCGGGTTAACTGGATTGTGGAATTGGGCCTCAAATAAATTAATCGAGATAAATTTAATAATAGTGTCCTTATATATTTAGTCTCCTATACTCATTGTTAGATGACAGAAAAGCAATTTCGATCTCTTTTAACATATTGATTTAATCGCTAGTGTCGTTTGCAAAATTGAAAATTGTGAAGGAAAATTGCAATAGAAAGCAGAAAGAAAGCATATGCACACGAAGGGGCACTTGTTGGGGAAACAGATGATCGCTTACCTAAGCAATGCTTTCCTCCAGCAATAGTCCGTCTCGATAACGAGTAGCTGTAATTTCATCATATATGTGAGGGCGACTCAAATATAAAAACAAATCCGTACACGGATTGCACTTGGGGCTTCTCTCTCGACGAAAATCCACCTCCACCTCCGACACTTTCTTCTCTTCGCAGGCGGAAGCGTAACTCTGTTATTCAGGTCGCGATTACTCGCGCGCGACCCAATTATCCGAGTACAGGTACTATCGATCAATCGGAACGAAATACACGGAACAGATCGGAGCGCAGACGCTTTTTCTCTCTCTCTTTTTCCTTGCTATTGAGAGAAAAAGAAAAAGAGATGCCAGAAGAATTCCTCTGAGAAACACACGGGATGAATCACAGTGCCTAAATGGATGCCTTAAATGCGGCGATGATCCGCTTATCCGCAGAGGAGGGAGGAGATTCCACACGAATGACGGGATTTCCTCAAACTTGGGGATGATATTTTCTGATTGTTATCTTCATAACTTCTTATCACCGTTGTCTTTCTCTTGTTACTGCTCCCTCGCACTGGAACACGGACAGTGACGAAAAAAAAAAAAACGACGACGGAGCCTGCCTCCTTGGCTGCTTGCTTGCCTGCCCCGTGGCTGGCATCCGTGTTTTTCGGATGCATTGTAACAGCAGGGCGCACGCGCCACCTCATGGATCGCCACCCCTCTGTCACGAACGAGTGTTACAACCGGCTGGGTAGCTACGTTAGCTACCAATGACGTCATGCAGTACGATTCATTCACACGAATATTCGACGGTCGCGCATGACTGACCCTGAAGACGCAAGTAATTTGGGATTCGCGTACGAAGAAAGCATCAGAATTTCTTCTAGGCTAGAAGACTCATTTTCTCCAAGGATGGAATTTCTAGATGGAAGGAAAATCGGACAAACAATTAGAGGAAGGAAACAAAATTAGGGATTATCTTATTTCTTCGCCTATGCGAACATAAGCTATAAATATAGTTAAATTCAAGCCAAGTATATATCTTACTAAAATGCCAAGTATATATCTTACTAAAATGACAAAAGGAGAAAAAAATAAGTGAAATGAATATTGCTATGAAATTTATATTAGAACTAAAATAAAACTTCCGATATTTTCTATTCAAACTATTACAATATTTGTCTAAAAAAATTTAGTAATGTGTGGCATTCATTTCAAGGATAATACTCTCATGTAGAGATATAATAAACGGATACATAAGGAGTGCAAAATATCTGCGCAGGGAGAAAAATTATATTATTTAAGAAAGTTTAAATTAATACATCTTATTCATTCAGAATTCAGAATTTTGATTCCAATTTATACACTATCTAATCAGATTTCATATAATGTATTTAATAATAATTTATATCCTTAAGAGACATTAGAAAAGGAAAAAACAATTTTAAGATGGTGGAATTTTAGTTGTATAGACAAATATCACATAGTAATATTATAAAAGGCTCTATTTACTTTGTAAAGAATGGATAGTAATAATTGATTTTTCTAAAAATTTAAAAGATAAATAAAGGTAAAAATATAACACTTTCTATCAATTTTATCAATTTGTAAAAATTAAAATATTGTAAATATTGTACATATTGTAATAAAAAGTTGAAAAAATTAATAGAAATGAAACTATAGACGAAATAGAAAATAAGTGCCATTAAAAATCAATGTGTATGTATGTGTATATATATTCATGTATGCATAAAAGTTGAAATGAGTTAAAATCATAATATCATTTAGAATCACTCTTATTAATTTATTGTGTATTTGTGTGTGTATGTGTGTGTGTGTGTGTGTGTGTGTGTGTGTGTGTGTATATATATATATATATATATATATATATATATATATATACATATAAATACACTACATACATATTAACATATTATATACAATAATTATAAAAGTTACCTTTTATGATGTATTATTATTTCTAATCGGTTTTCTGCTGTTGAATGTAAAATATTCTTCAATTACGATTCTCGAATTATTTTTTTCAAATGCAAATATCTCAATGTATTATGCAGCTTATACTTTCTGAAATCTTTTAATTTTCGATTTGGTATGTGCTGTAATGCTTTTTTCCAATCTCCTGTGTATTTTAAATCCAATAATATATTTAGCATTTGATCAATAGTAAATTTCTCAGATGCAGGACCCAATTCAAGATATTTTTCTATTGGTAATTTGCCCATGCGGATACCATCCTTTTTAGCTTTTGCTAAAGATAAAGGTTCCTTATTGCTCTACAAATTGACAAAAAATTTACTTAATACAAAAAATATTTTTATTATGAAGGACATATTTTTATATCAACTTACCTTGTCCACTATTGCACCTATGATATATACTGTATCAGGATCATATTCAGTTATATCATTTTTACAGTGTGGAGTAAGATACAATAATTGATCTCTCGGAAATAAATCTAAATAAGATTGTGATGTCACAATTGCTGGAAAATCGTCATTCAATAAAGTAGGAATATTGCGATGAAAACATTTCATAAGTGACCCATCTTTGTTCAAATTACAATAATAAAGACACATAGGATCATTATGAGCACGATTGTTGGCAAAAGACAGAGTCAGCTGCTTAGCACAATTTTGTAATTCAATAAAGTTCATATAATTTTCATAACCACAATCAAACACAACTTTTGGTGCAAACATGATAGCTTGAATTAATTTAGCATTATAATAATAATTCATAGTTGTTAGATTTATACGTTGAAACATGGTATTATACATAAATCCATATTTTATTTCACCAGTATCTTCTGTTTGTTTAGCTTCTGCTTCTGCCTTTTTAGCAAGCCATTGAGTCCTTTTCAATTCTTTTTTCATTTTTAAATTATTTTTATGTTTTTCATTGCGCCATAAATAGTAAAGATGTTTTCTATGCAACATAAAGGAGAAAATATATTTTAATCAAGATATTAATAAAAGAAATTAATTAAAGTTGCAGGTAGAAATATTATTTTTGAATGAAAAATAATAGAAAAAAAAGAAAGACTCAAAAAATACTAACTTTCTTTGCCTCTTGCTTGGCAGTTTTAACAATGTCAACCAATCATTTGGATTAAGCTCTTCAGGGACTTTCTCAGAATTGTGTCGCATTACATCTACTTCTAACTTTAATATTTGATAGCGTTTCTTGTTCTCAGGACTAAAGACAAACTCATCAAACTGCTGTTGTGCATCATTTTTCATTGCATCTGTCTCATCAGTCTTCTGATCGATAGCAATTTGGCAATAAAACCGTTTGTATATTTTACTAGTGTCATTCCAAATATGAAAGTTTGCATAGCAATCGATCATGGGTAATAAAATATTTCCTTGGTTTGATTTTTGTGTCAAGAATTTCTTATGAATCTTTGACGAGACAATCAGACATCTCCTAAGATGGTTATACATTGTATGTAACTTTCTGCAACAATAACTGTTATCTCCTTCTTTGTTCTCTGTAAATCTCCATTCGACAAAGTATAGCATTGATAATTTTAAGGAGATGGATTTCTCATTTCCAGGAAAAGTTTAAATGCAGATTTTCTTCGTTATCATTCTAGTATCAATTTTTTATGATTGTAAATACTATTGATAAATCAAATTAAGTTTATTAGTAATCCTCTTATTGGTTTCTCATTTCTTAGTATATATTACGTTTTCGAATTTCTATATACGTTTCGTATTTAAAAACCGCGAATATATTATCTCCGAAAATTCCGAAAACTTGGCACCCTCACTTTGACTTTCCGACTTGTTTCACCTAACCTGAAATAAAATATTTTACCTTGTAATATAATATGTCAATTAATTACAATTATATAGCACATAAATATTAATAAATAATAAATAATCTTTGTATATATAAATTAATATTTATAAAAAAAATATATACTTTCGTATATTCCAATTCGGAAAACTGCAATTTTATTATCGTGAGTTGATAAATTAACTTCACCGCGGCTCTGCCGATTACGCATTATTCTGATTGGTTAGTGTAATGCTTCGAAGTATTTCTAGCGTTTCTCCGGGGACCACAGCCGTTAACTTTAAATATAACCATGTTGTGCAGTACATATTTTTAATAAAAATACGAATAGATTTTAGATTTTAATTCGTTTACGCGAATCATAGATATCAGATGACAGCGCAAGAACCTAAGAAAAATACGCGGCAATGTCCTGTCATGTTTTCTCCCAGATTCTTTAAAATTTGATAAATTTTAGAATGATTATTCCGATGATCTCTCAATCTAAATAAATTTGTGAAGATTAGAAAAAACAAACGTCCGAAAACTTAATGTAATCATGGAGTATTTAGGCGAAATAATTGCTTTTGGAATTGACACCGTCGTATTCGCTATTTGCTTGAAACAATATATCTACTACAAGAATTCAATTGAAGCGGTTAAGGTAGAAAATTAATTTGAAATTTTGAAATACATTACAATTAAAGAAAAATATGCTTAAATGTACGCATTTAAGATAGTTTGGAAGGTATATATGTATTTTGCAGAGTGTTGAACTTCACGATATTGGGTCAGATCTGAAAAATCTAATAGATAACAGTCTAAACAATAAAATAGATTATGTTGCCATCAAAGGAATAGTGAAACCATTAGGAGAATCACTGCAAAGTATTAATAAAAAAAATGTTACTGGAGTTATACAGAAGTTTACAGTTAGTGAACATGTTATTGCTAGAACATCGACTGGTTTTTGGTAAGACAATGCATATATTTATAGAATACTAATAGTGATATATAAATATCAAGAATTACCTTGATTTTATTATCACTATCATACTTTCTTAATTGACTAATCTAATTAGTTATAATGTTACAGGTCTACACATGAACGAATAATTCAAAAGTTATATCGTGTGGTTCCATTTGTTTTACAAAAGGGATGGTACTCTGTGGAAATTATAGATCCATTATCTGCTGATATCTTAGATTTGGATATAATTTCTGATAATTTTGAACCCAGTGTACCTACATTTGTGGATCTTGTATGGGGATTTTTTACAGGTAATTGTAATAAGAGTTAGGACTACTTATGTTCTTATGAAATATTGAATTATATAATTTATATATTTTATAAAAAATGCTAAGCTTTGAAACTTTACGATATTATTAATTATTAGGAGTGCGTCAACGTGGCATACAGTCTACAGAAGAAATGTTGCGTGAGAATTCAAGTATTACAGCAATAGGTGAGCTCTCGACATCACAAAATAAATCTGACACTCTTATATTGCAATCTCCGTTAAATGGGTCTCCTTTTTACATAACAAGCATGTCAATCACCACTTTGATACGGAATTTGGATGATCGTAAGAAGCTGTACAGGTATTTGTAAATTTTAATTAAAATTAATTATATTATCTATTACATAATTAAATTTCTATTAAATACATAATTTTCTAAAATACAGGATATTTTGTGTAATAAGTGGCGCAATTGGATTATTGCTTGGAGGAATCATGGTAAGACGCTACTGGAAGAATAAACAAGAGCAAAGATTGATGGAGCAGTTACGGCAATCACTTGAGACATCTCGTCAAGAAAGACGTCAAAGAGTCAGAGATAGAGATCTCAGAGAGGATCAAATATGTGTGGTTTGCAATACAAACGCTCGCGAAATTATTCTACTGCCTTGTGGTCATGTATGCATATGTGAAGATTGTTCAGCTAGCATTAATAATGATTGCCCTATTTGCAGAACAAAGATCACCCAAAGAGCAGCAGCATATATAGTATAAATTTTATTTTGATATGATTTAATTTTTATAAAACAAATATCTTTCTTGTATTACGAAAAAAAAAATATAAAATATAAAACCATTAAATGATGAAGTCAAAATATTATTGTTTAATTCAGATTGTAATATTTTCTACAAATATAAACATGTATATAATATATACATGTATCTTTATTATAAAAATATATAAAAATTTAATTTATATATAGTAATTATAAATGACAAGATTTTTAATGTTGAAATTTGATCAATATGTGGTTTTTCAATTTTAACCCTTTAACTATGGATATGCATTCCTATTCGTCATCTATTGACGACAATCGTAGTTAAAGGGTTAATATATTTGAAGTGTTCATTGCAAAAAAAAATAAATTACTTTTAGTATCAAACTTAAAACTATGTATATATAGATATATCATAATCTTTTGTTTCATAATTTATTGTTTGATAATTTATCAAATGTATCAGTAGTAGAATATTTGTTAGATAATTACAATGAAAAAGAAATATTTAAAAGTATATTTTCTGTAAAAATATATATTTTACCTGTATATTTAAATACATGAAGAGTTCAAAAATCTATACTTTGCTGTTGTTCATTTCTTTTATCTAAATCCATTATCTTCTTAGCTTTATTAGATTTGCCAATACCGAGTTTCGGCAATCCTCTGTTCAAACCTTCTAGTAAAACACAAGCTTTACATATTTCTTGACTTGAAACAAATCCACATCGAGTACAATTTCTTCTTTCTGGCATCTTTATACTATCTTTCACTTGCAACTGCTCACCTAATATGTAATGGATAATATTGATAATAGATAATATTAAAAATAATAATGTTATCTTCAATTTACATAATAAAAATGTTTTAATATTACAATAAAATATAACAAAAAATTCTCCTACCTGAATGTATTATGTCTATAATGGATGAAGGTCTTATTTTCTCCAAATCTTTTAGAAAAGCTCGTGCATGACCTCTGTAAGCATTTGGAGCATATACACATTCTGTGGAGAAATATACTAGATGCTTAAAATATGCATACATAACAATTTCTTTTTCATATGCATATTTCAGTGGTTTACAACGCATGATGGAGTCTGCACCTGCCTATATTAACATATTTGTACATCAGACTTTAATTTATCAAAATTTCCTATCATATATATATATATATATATATATATATATATATATATATAAAATATATATATAATGATGTATTCTTACAGTGATTACAGATGTACATCTTTGCAATCGGGCAATATCGCCTCTTAAGACATTCATTAACACTGTTTCAGCAATATCATCTGCATTATGACCCGTTACAATGCAATCTACCCCCAAAATTGCAGCACCTCTATCCAGTGCTTGTCTTCGAAAAACACCACAAAATGTACAATTGTTTTTACGGCCAATCTAAAATACCATTATTACAATTAATACAATTATGTAATTAACAATTTTATTAGATATATTTTACCTCTGTAACTATAGAATCCATTGTCCATCCATATAATTCCTTATATGATAAGATTTTAAGTGGAATGCCATAATCATCTCTGTTTTGTGCTACAGTTTTCAAACTATCATCTCTATATCCTATACAATAATACATCTTATAAAATATATCATATGACAATTTTATATATACATATATAATTTTTTTTATATTACCAGTAATTCCTTCATCAATGGATAAAAGAAATAGATCTAATCCATATTTGTGCCTTTCATTGAGAGTTTTCAAAACATATGCAAGTACAGTCGAATCTTTTCCACCTGATGCTCCAATGGCGACTTTGTTACCAGGTTTGAACAATTTACCATTGACAATTGTATCATGAATCTCTGTTTCAAATGCCAAAAAGAAACAGTCTTTACACAATGTATCACCAGTTTTTGGCCTCTACAAGACACATTTATTTTTAATCACATTTAATAGTAAAAACTTATAATTGTTTAAATAACAAAATTTTATGAAAATAATTTTTACCTTTAAAATAGCATCTCTTCCACATTTTGTGGAACAAGAAACAGGCATTTTGGTTGTTTTATCTCTTTTTGAGTTATCGATGATAAATTATAAAATTGTATTATATATCAATTTATTTGAGAGTAACAAGGAAAGATTATACAAAAATGTCTTTATATCTCTTCGTTAACGTACGATCGAGGTTATCCACGTTGCACACGACACTTGACGAGAGAAAATTGTGCCTATTGCACAACACATTTAAAATACTGATAATCTATTGAAATTCTCGCTCAAATATAATCGTTCTCGAAATAACAATTGTGGGATTAATAATAATGCAGTTCTTCTTTTACTTGAAAAAAAAAAAAGAAGAAACACATTCGATGAGAAAGCGACTCGCGATTTTAATCTTCCGGCTTCTCAGGCGGCGGTCCGCAAGGTTGCAGCATCTTCTCCATGAGATTGAATCTAACTCGCGCCTTGGCCTCGTTCTCGGCGATCGCAAAGAAGTTGAGTAGATCGTAATGGCCCATGAACGAACTGCAAGAATCCCGGTGTTGATTCACCAGCCACTCGAACTTGGTCGTGTCCGCGTGTCCTGTGCCGATGTACTTGGACTGTAGATGCTCCAATTGACTGTGGATGTTATAGCGCTCGCCCATCTTCTCAAACTAAGCTTCCTCGTGATCTCGTTCCTCTTTGATGGATAATCGAGTTAACGATGGTTAACAATTACGTTAGTATTTTTCTTGCAAATACTTTGCTTGCAAAAAGTTTATGTTACAGGTTATGATTTTCCGGAAAAAAAAGTAAACGGAAATTCCTCGCGCATGCGCAGCGTAAAGATCGTATTGCTTTAATAAGTAGCGTACATATGTACGTGTCATTAGACCCATTTGGTAAGAATAGAAAATATAAAAATAAATGTTATAAATGTCTACTGATTGAATAATACAATTTAATTACATTTAATAATTGTAAAATATTTCATTTGACGCTATCAAAATTTTGAATTATTTGATTAACAGATTGAGACAAAGGAGCAAAGTTTTCTTTGCCTTGATTAATCGATTAAATTTCAAAATTTTAGCATTAAATCGAAAATGAGAATGAGAATATTTTATCTCTATTTACCTCTCGATTGTCTTCAGAAAGAGAATGAATACGTAATAAGTGGCAATTGATTCGATAAAGATGTAACATGTCATTGGATGATTTTGGTCGAATCAGTAGCTTGGCCATAGAATAGCGATCTTTCATGGTTTCTCTGGGTAAAAAAGAAAGTTCCAGTAATTCTATTGGCTCGTCGGATCCGGAGCGAGCCAATCAGAGCGCCTACGAGACGCAGGGTCGCGAGTGTCGGAGAATTCTTCGAGATCTCTAGGCAACTTGCCGCATTCCACCGCACCGCGGCGGCACCGCAGTCGTTACGTCACATCGAAATGACGTGCCAAATGGTAAATGGCCTCCACTCGGTCGAGCTGGGATTTTATGATCGAGCCGAAATCCAATCCAAAGAAAATACATGCGATATGATGCGATCGGCCGCCGGAATCATAAAAATATGATCGCCTGAGCGCCGTACGATCGCGATAGAGATAAATTTCCGGCCAGAACGCACCGGTCGCCCGCGAATTATGTGCTAAAATTGCTACGTGCGAGGAACGGCAACTACGACGTGAACGGGACGGCCGTTACGCGCTCACGTCGACCTTGCCTGCTGATTTCGGGCCTGATGCGAAGGACACCGAGGCTCGCCACGACGTCGCAGGATATACATCACACGTGAGTACGAATTTATCGTCGTGCGACTCGTCGGTCCTCGTCCTCGTAGTCGTCGTTCAACTTTTCCTATCCCCCCCGGAAGAAGAAACTGGGCGAGTCCGTGCTAGAGTAATGGCGGCCGCGCTAGCTCGTTGGAGAAATTCGCGACCACGCGTTCTGTCACTTCCCGTCGTCGATCGCCAATTTCCGCGCCTCGCTTTCCGCCCAACGATATTTTTCGCCCGCTCGATCCGGATGGCATAAGCGCGATCGCCCGCTCGCTCTCTCGCGCGCAAGATAATCGCATCATTTCGCGATATCGTCCATGTATCGTCGATGTGTGCGTGAACGAGCGCGAACGCGTGTGCGTGCGTGCATGATTGTTGAGCGCGAGTGTGTAACGTGATTGTACATATCCATGACGATCTGCCTCGGGACTGTATCGAGGCACGTCGGGGCGATATCGTTGGTTTCGATTGTCGTCGTGTTTCCGCTGATGTCAGGGTAAGCCAGAAGAAACCCCGTGGCCCGCTCCTGCTGGGATATTTTCCCCTGCTCGCGGAGCCTCAGTGATGACTGTTGACAAATACAGCGATGTAAAGCCACCTCTAGCGCCCTGGAATAGAATGTTATTGTTCATGTAGAGTTTATATACTTTATCAATAAAGAAAATGCGTATATACTTGCAAAAATATTTGATTAAACTCATATATATATATATGTATACACATACACACATATATCTTATAAATTTATAGCAACATCTGCAATAAATAATATGTATGCGAGATTTGTTATCTAATTTTTATTTGCCCAAAGTTTGTCTTTATTATCATCTTGATTAAAAAACAATATATAAATGTTATTTGTACGATTAATACATATTGATATCTATCTTATTTTTAGTAGGTGACATGCCTAGCACTCGTGATATCGAACGGGCCGAACGTAATGGGAGATTTCGCTCGCGAAGAAGAGGCAGCACGAGCAGCGACGTGAATCGACACAGCTTTGATGGTACTGATAAACGACACAGACGGCATGGAAAGAGCAAGAATTCTGGCAAAAAGAAGAAGAAACGTTCGCGCGACAAGTCATTGGAGAACGTGCCGACTGTAGCTTCATCGGTTGTTAAACCATTGGTCGAGTATTCCGACGTGAGTAGCGAGGATCTCTCGGAACCGGAAGCGGGAGAGATACAATCGGAGGACAGTCGGGCCAATAGTTACACGGATGGGGAAGTACCTGAATCGCTCCTTCAGAGGCGATATTATGGCGGTACCTCGGTACCCCGTACCCTCGGAGCATCGCCCATCAGTCTGTCGCCTTCACCACCTGTTCAACATCGACACGCCATTAGTAGGCGATATTCCTCGCCGAATGAGCAACAGCAGTCGACGACGATGCATGGTGCAACAACGCCGGAATACGAGGAGGAATCGAGACGATACGCTCGACGGAAGGAAAAGAAGCACAAGCGCGAGAAGAAGAAGAAGAGGAGTCTGAGCCCGTTATCGAATTCGGGAAAAAAGAAGAAGAGAAAATCCAAGAGACATTCCGACAGCATAAGCCCGCATCACGTTGTTGTCGAGGATATTATCCTTAGCCCGGATCGCGAGAAACAATCGTCGGTCACCGCCGGCACAAATTGGTCGGAATCGCCGCCGTTGCCGTTGAAGGACAGCACATCGCCGATCTCGCCTGCGACGCCGCAGGAGCACAGGTGTCCCAGCGACGACGTGGAGTTGGAGATGTCGAGACAGACATCTCGAAACGTGACTCCACCGTCTCTCCTACCGACACGGCAGACGGAATCGCCGCACACGCCGCTACTGCCTCCGCGTGCCACAACGCCGGAGAGTTTGAATAAGGTCGTGCCGAAACACGGCAGTCCGGATCGACAGAAACGTAGTCCCAGTATTCACGCGATGCGACGTACCAGCATGAGTCCCGCACCCATCGGTCCGAGTCGCAGGAGACCGCACAGCCCGAGTCCACCGTCGAGACGCAGGGATCACAGTCCGCCGCCGCGAAGAAGAGATTTCAGCCCCACTCCGGTGCTCCATAGACTCAGGCACAGTCCGAGTCCTACCACAGTCAGACGACGAGAATTTAGTCCGAGCCCCGTAGGCAGTCACAGGCGGAGAACGGACAGTGTTAGTTCTCCTAAACGCAGACGACGAGACGAATCTGATCGACGACATCGACATCACGACAAGGATAGACGAGATAAGCGAAAATCAAGATCGACTAGAAGTCCCACCGGAAGCAGGTTTAAAAGAATTATTTTCTTGTATTATTATGTTTGTAGATATGTATGTGTATATGTATGTATGTGTTTAATATATATATCTCAAGATGTACATAAATAATTAAATGTTTCACATTTAATGTATAATAATTTTTTTCCAATTTCAGATTACATCTGCCTTTGTCTCGATCGCGATCCCGTAGCCCGCAGGGAAGATGGCGAAAGCTATCTCGTTCGAGATCGCGTTCGCGCAGAAGGAGTCGCACTCCGAAAAAATCACGCTCTCCCAGCAAGTCTCACAAATTGCTGAGAAAACACAAATCGAAAAGCCCGCGTCCTCGTATACCTTCTCCTTCACCTAGATCACGGGCTAGGAGTCCGTCGAGCATCACCGCTCGAAATCTCCGGGTGCAAGCAAAGATTAGCGAGACTAGTTTGTTTGCAGAGCTCGTAAAGGATCGGAATATGAGAGAATTGGCGTACAAAAAATTGCAGGCCGCGAAAGAGAAGGCCGTGAATCAAGACGAAGTGCAGATTATAGAAGGCACTGATGAAAGGGACAGCGGTGGTAATGTGTCCTCCGAGAATAAAACTTCCACTGACAATAAGGATAGATCCATAAATCACAAGGAGCAGCAAGTGAAGCCTACCGAGAGCACAGTCGACGTCATCGATATTCCCGTTCCGATGACGAGCGACGACGCTTTAGCGGGCAAAACACCACCATTGCCACCCAATGTCGGCCAATCGGTCACAGCTGCATCTAATTCGACATCTACGGTGGCGAATCCGCTCGCTCCTCATGCAATTATACATACTTCACCCAATCCATCATCGTCATCATCATCATCAATGCCACCCAATAACTGTCCCATTGCCATATCGCACAGCCCGAATTTTCCGGCTCCCGCTCCTGGTGTACAACCGCCGCCACCACCTCCGCCACCACTGCCGCAATCCGAGATCGCGTCGACAGTCTTATCGCAAGTGTCTGCGCCTGTTGTACCCATATCGGTGCCGCCAATTCCTCCGACACCGATTCTACCCAACATGTCTGTTCCACCGCCGCCCATTCCGCCGATTCCTGTTCCGGCGCCCAACACAATCATGTCCAAGTTCAATCCACATAACAATCTTGTACCCCTGAAATCGGTGGATCCTCCTAAGCCCCCTATAGTAACGTTCACGACCAAAAGCCTGAAGAGATTACCATTGCCACCCGGCATCAACCAGAACGATCTGGAAAGCATAGATTCCCCGCCGAGTCGTTCTCCAACCCCTCCCAGCAAAACGCAGTCCAAATTTTCAACGGCATCGACACCGAAACCACCGCAGAAAAAGAGCATCAAAGATCTGCCGATGCCGCCAGGTAAATTCTTCCCTTTTTATTTTAATTTCTTTTATATCTTGTACATCTTAATTTCAATTTATTATCAAATTTTGCAGTCGTACCTGGTTCGGAAGACCTGAGTGGCGAGGATGATCCGAACGCGACACCGCCACGTTTGAAGGTAGAACGAGTAACGCCGAAACCCAAACTGAAGAGACCCAAAATATTAAAGCGCAGAGGATCACGAAATTCTCACGCTCCCATGTCAGCCCCTGGCGGTAAAGATTGGGGAGAACGATGCGTCGACGTGTTTGAATGCATAGCGCAAATCGGAGAAGGTACTTATGGACAAGTGTACAAAGCGCGAGACAAGCGAGCCGGCGTGCTAGTAGCCTTGAAGAAGGTTCGCCTTGAGAACGAGAAGGAGGGCTTCCCCGTCACGGCAGTCAGAGAAATAAAGATCCTGCGGCAGCTAAATCACAAAAATATTGTTAATCTTAGGGAAATAGTCACTGATAAGCAAGACGCGCTGGACTTCCGGAAGGTATCTTTTTAGCTAAAGTTATATACGATATTTGTAGTGGCATTCCATACTATATATTTTTATTAGATGTATTTTTGTATTTTACTTATTAAGAAATTTTGTATATAGAATAAATCATGCACACATAGCAGCGAGTAGATAGAAATATTGCACACGCATGCATACATCGATTATATGAGATATTCTATATTGATAATTATCGCAAGCAACTTTTCAGTATCTGACAAACAAGAGTACGGAATACTTCTACTAGTTTATTATGTTCATGAAACTAGTTATGTATAATCATCTTTCATGTTTCAGGATAAAGGTTCCTTTTATTTAGTTTTCGAATATATGGA